CAGTGCTTCAAGCTAATTTAAACAAAGTATTGTAAAGTGGCATGTATTTTGAGAAAAATCTATTCATGCGAAATTTTCCAATTTTTGGTTTTTACAGTGGTTCAGGTTAATTTAAATTTCAATGACATAAAAAGTAGAAAGATGTCACAAGGTGACGTACTTTGACGAAAATATATTCATAATTTGGGTCCTTTTTAGCCAATCTTCAAATTTAGATGCAAAAAATTTCGCTCTTTACAGTGATTCAAACCAATTTAAAGTTGTATTACACAAAAGTGCAAACCAGTATCGCGTCTTGTGATATTTATTTTGATGAGAATATGTTTTTGATTGATACAAAGAAAAGGATTCATAACTTCGGGTCCTTTTCAACCAATTTTTAAATTTGTAAGCGCAAAATTTCACTCACTACAGTGGTTCAAGCCAATTTAAACTTATACGATATAAAAATGCATGACATGATGTTGCAAGATAAAAAAAAATGTTTTTGCGTAATCGAAGGAAATGATTCATAATTTTCAATTTTTACACACAAAATTCAGCTCTTTACAGTGGTTCAACCAGTCTTGTTAGGTGTAGGGTTGCCATCCGTCCGGGTTTCCCCGGATTTGCCCTAGTTTAGTGGGCATCCGGGGAGCGGTCACACACGTAAAAGAAATCTAACTGATTATTAAAACAAATTGTAACAAACTGTAATAAGAGTAATAAGAATACAGACCACTTCGAATTATTTTATAAGATTCTGTTTTGTTAGGTACATTGAAAATGATGATAAAGAATGACTAAATTTAATTTTAAGGTCTGAAAATGAATAAAAGGGTGATTTATGACATTTTCAACTGTTTTTTGTTACACTGACTGTTTAAAAAAACTTGTTGACATGTCCGGGTTCTGGACTCTAAAATCCGGGGTTTTCACGCGTCTTGCCCTGGTTTCCAAATTTTAGAGATGGCAACCCTAATTAGGTGGTGCAAGCGATGCACTATGCACTCGTACTATACTCTTCTTTTAAAAATTGAAAATTACTCGTTATTTGGTGATTGTATGGTTTGCCGTTGTTTAAAAGGGTCCTCACGTCTCCACTGGAGTTGCCTTGCCACAGTACGCAAATATAGTCATTTGAAAAATTTATTCAAGATGCTGTACTTTTTATGTTGCTTCCCCGAAAATTACTAATTTTACTTCAGATTTTATAATGTAGTAAAAGTAAAACAAATAAACTAAACTAAGTTGGGAAATTTTGTAATATAAGTGGCACCGAAAGTCGTCACTCTTCATCACATTTTACCTCGATTTAATTGTCCACAATATTTAAATGCCTCAAAACAGATTTCTTAATGTATATAATTATTTTAGAAACTACTCCTCAATAATATGAGAACGCGTAAACAATTGTGCGATGTGTGTAAACATCAGAAGTAGGAGATAATCCTCCATTCAATTATTTAATATTTTGGTAACTATTTTTCGTATCATAATAATTCAAAAGAAGTTTTTCTTTCTTTTCAACAAAGTACCTGCAGACAAGGCCCCGAAATCTCAAATTGTTATTATTCTTCAGCTATTCATTTTTTTTGTTTATGACTGTACACAAGAAAACATGAATAACATAAAAGTACCACAAGTGATTATTTCTCAGTGGCAAACGATTAATAATTATCTTAATGTAAAGCACATCAGTAATTTTAATAGTTTCAATTTTCAAATTCAAGTATTTCATTACATTTAAGTTAATTAATATTTAATTCCAGATTAATAACACATTATATTAGAAAATAATATAACTTACCATAAACAGCACTCAGTCGAACTCTAGCTTCTTGTTTGAAAACAATTATTGTATAAAAAAATATTATCAATTTTAATACAGGTTCCAACATATTTATTTTACATTGAACTACTTACCAACAGGTGCCACCTCGAGAAAAGTTCATACGTATAAGTTTATTCGATTTGTAATGTACAGGAGATATCCAAAAAGTATTGTACATAAAGAACGAAAGGATGCATAAAATAAAACTACTAATTCTTGTAATTTGACATAAACGCCCACTTCTAATAATTTGTCTTCACAAAAATTAAGAAACATACCATGACAAATTATATCCTTTGTACTTGTTTATATATTTCGATGAACATAGACAATCAATTTTCGATGAATCCAAAAAACATACGATTCCTCGACGGAAAAAATACTCTTATGTAACATACAATAATGCATTTGTACCTTCCTCACTTAAAAATTGACAAATAAAATGGCATTATAACCCTTAAGATTACCCTTGAATAGACACCATTATTTATTTGGTGCATGAATAAAATACTAGCAGTAGGGTATTAACGGTAGAATGCCTTATTAATGTAACATTCACTATGGCATTTGTACCTTCATCATTCAGAAAATTGTGCATTATCACTGATAAAATCAATATGGCGTCATAACACTTTAAGATTGCCCTTGAACACATGCCTTCATTTATTTGATGCAAGAATAAAATAGTGCAAGTAGGATATAAACGGGTATATTACGTTATTTACGTAACATACACCATGACATTTGTACCTTCATCAGTCAGATATTATCCACTATCAGTGCCAATGAAGATGGCGTCATAACCCTTAAAATGTCCCTTGAACATACGCCATCATTTATTTGATGGATGCATAAAAATAGTTGAAATAGGTTATATGCGGGTATATCTTATTTATGTAACATACACTATGATATTTGTACCTTTTGTGCACTACAACTGATCTAATAATCAATATGGCGTCAGAACACTTTAAGATTCCCCTTGAACACACGTGATTATTTATTTGATGCATGAATAATAACAGTGGAAGTAGGATATAAAGGGGTATAATACCTTACTTATGAATCATACACTGTAACATTTGAACCTTTATCACTCAAATATTGTCCACTATCACTGACAATAAAGATGGCGTCATAACTTTTAAAATGTCCTCTAAACATACGCCATTATTATTTAATACATATATATAAAATGGTGGAAGTAGATAATCAACGGGTATAACACCTTATTTATGAAACATGCACTATGACATTTGTACCTTTATCACTCAAATATTGTACACTATCACTGACAATCAAGATGGCGTCATAACTTTTAAATGTCCCCTAAACATACGCCATTACTATTTAATATATATATAAAATAGTGAAAGTAGGATCTGAACGAGTATAACACCTTATTTAGGAAACATACACTATGACATTTGTACCTTTATCACTCAAATATTGTACACTATCACTGACAATGAAGATGGCGTCATAACTCTAAAAATGTCCCTTGAACATACGCCATCATCTATTTAGTACATGTATAAAATAGTGGAAGTAGTGTAACAACGGGTATACCGTTTCTCTTTTGGCATTTCCGCTCGTTAGATTTTACCTATCAGTGGTAAGACTCCGCCCCCCTCCTCATGTGACAGGTGGGTATTTTTTTTAATTTGAATATTTTCTGGGGATGGTCGTTTTTCTTGTGATGATCCTATTTGTTAATGCTTACACTAAACACTGCTACTGAAATTAATGCAGGATATACCGTAAGTGGCAGTCATTTGTCAGTAAGTCAACGGATTAATTAATAACGTTCCTTTTATTTACAGTTATTCAAAGGAAATGTACAACATTCTTATAATATTTATAAAATTAAGGAAAACAGACACAAGTCACCAAAAAACTATTCGAAGTTGGGCAGTCAGTTTATATTTACTTATTTTTTATAATTAACTAATACAGAATGTGTTTATAATATGTAATTAAATTAACGGCGGGACCGTTCGACGACTTTCAAAAAAAAATCCGACTAATTGCACGACAAAGCAAATGGTAATGAGCAGCAGTTTACCTTTTCTTTAAAGCAAATACCACAAAAAATACAATAATCCGTATCAAGTGACTCAAAACAATTTTATTTCAACATTTTCTATCCGCTTATAAATTTTCATTTTCCTGTTTCAACTAATAGAAATTGAACAAGTTCTTTTAGTTAATCTCTTACCATGATCTAAATCTTTTAATATAAATACGAATTTTATTTATTTACTCTTACTGTTACTAATAATTAATTAGCTTTTCGATTGAAAATTGTTTTGTTTCACTATATCAAATATTCAATTAATGAACACCAAGCGTAAGCTTTTATTTTTAATGAAATTAAATCAACTATCAGGAAATTGAAAAAAAAACCGTTTCCTTTTTCTGAAAATCGTAGCAAGGACCCCCGTCCGTCAAACGTGAAAAACGGGACTGTTATTTATTTAAAAATAAGAAAAAAATCCTACATCTTCTCACTTACCACCCTATAGATATACAGTATGTCCACTAATGCCACCACGAACGTTGTTTGTTAATTTCATCACCCTCAATTTTTCGTCGCTGCTCGCTGTTAAAATCAGCATATTAATTTACATTTACACTTTTCATCCTCATTCGTTAATTTCCAACGGTTTTTACAAATCATTAAGTCAAGAAGAGTAAATTAAAGATTAATACAATTTAATAATAATAGCTAGGTTTTCATCTTCATGTTTATTTAATTTTTTAAATGAATGGACGCTAAAAGAGGCAGAGACAGACAGCGCGTGCGGTATATGCGAAATCGTTTCCATTTCCGGTTTCCATGCTCACTTTCGTCTTTATCGCCTCGTCATTCGCAGAAACCGAAAAGGATCGAAAACAGCCGAAACCTGCTGCCCAATGAGGTCATCCTTTTTTCGAATTATTTCACCTTACAAATCTACACATCACTTGTAATATTATCCTCTTTTTCATGTTTATATTTTAATATTATATTATTATTATTCTTATCATTATTATTATTAATTATGTTATGTACAAAAAACGAACTTGTCGTTCCTTCCATAGTCACGTTTCTATGTCCAAAAACGAAAACAAAAAAAAATAATAAGAAAGAAATACACAACACGTAAATCGTCCCCGTTTTTTACTGATTCATCCAGGACACAANCGTAAATCGTCCCCGTTTTTTACTGATTCATCCAGGACACAACAGCTTCTACATAACAATAATTGTCATCGAACTCGAACCACGTACGACGAAGAGAAGACCACCATCATCAATATTGTAGACCAGCATCTGCGTTTACGCGCCACAACGAGGAGGCAGTCGTTGTAGTTCGAAACATTGCAACAGAAGTTATTTATGAATGAAAACCACACACCGATGCCGTTTGAGATCAAAATAATTTTCGAATAAGAAGCCATTGCAGACTTTTATAGTAGAGGATGACGAAACAAATTCTTCTATCTTCAAGTCCAATTAGCCATCATCCTTAACAAAAGAGAAGTTATTTTTTATCGAAACGTACCCCACTCTTCTTTTATTTTTAATAAATCCAACAAAAAATCGATCGAAATCAATCACTTTAGTCGATGACATTATCGTCTAATCTTCGTCTGAAAGGGGTTCATACTGCGCAGAAAGCAGTGGTTTTGGTTCGACGTTCCTGGCAGCATCGTTCACCCCCGCGTTATCACTTTGCTTGTGCGTCATGTAAGAGTAAGAGCCGTAAGCTCCCGTGGGGGGTTGCTGGTGTTGCTGCTCGCTCTCGTGCTTCTCCTCGTCGATCACCATATCACCTGGACTATCACTTCTGTCTTTATCGTGCATATTAACGCCATCTTGCACCTCCTTCTTATCGTCCTCCGTTCTCATCACCTCCACAATCCTGTTCTTGACATAATCGAGTGCGGACATATTGTGCGACTGTTGTTGTTGTTGCTGCTGCTGTTGCTGTTGTAGTTGTTGCTGCTGTTGGTATCGCCTGTAGTTTTGCTCGGACCAATGGTTGCTTTCCGGTGGGGAGACAGGTTCGACGTGGTATTTTTGGGCTTGAGCGATCCGTATTATTTGACGTTCGTCATGGGGGGTGATCGATCGCTTTCCCTCCTGTTCCTTCTGTTGGACGTGACGTTTCCACGCGTCGTGGTGGGGGTGATGATAGTAGGTAGGGCCGCAGGCTGCCGATTGACGCGCGGCTGCGGCCGCCGCCCCGAAATCGTGTGCGATCACAGTGTCTGCCAATTCTTTGATCGTTAGGCTTTTCGAATTGGCCGTGTCGCCATCGAGGTCGACACTGATGACGGACGGAGGTCTTTCGCCATTGTCTTGCTGTTGTTGCGCGGCTTGCTGTTGTTGTTGTTGAACGAGAGCTGCGGCAGCCTGTTCGCGGGTAAACGACTGGAAGAGGCGGTCGCTGGCTCGCGCCGGTTCCCTACTGTTGGGCACCGACTGACCACCTTGAAGGAAAAAACGCGGTTTCGTTACTAGGGAGAAAAGAGAAACGGAAAAGTTTTAATTGTTAATATTCTCCAAGAAGAAATGCTAAAGTGAAAAACAAAATACACAAACAAAAGAATAATATAAGCATGTAAGAAGAAGACGTCCTTCAAAATCACACACGCACATTCTAAAAAATGGAATGGACATTTTTCTTATAAAGAAATCGAAATAAGTCGCAATAATTTCGAAAGAAGTCACTATAAAACATGAAATATTGTCATTGTGAACGCTAAATATCCCGTTGTTTATGGAAAATGTCCATCTTAATTGTCCAAATACCAAATTATTTACCAAGTGTACATGCGTACTACGCTACTAAATTAATTAAAGGCCACATAATCAGACACAGAATGATGCAAAATTACTGTAAAAGAATCTATATATATGTACAAACAGCAGACTGAAAGTTAATCAATTCCTGTGGCAAATTAATATAAAAATAATTTTTGTGTTGTACATAAATTTAATAAAATGTTGAACAAGCATCAGAAGTGTTAAGAATTTCGCATACATACACATACACTCATGATAAATGGATTAGATTAGAATAATGAAAGCGTCACAGTTGAATAGAAAAATAGTGATGATGCCCTACCTTCCGCAGTTTGATTGATTTGGTGTGTGATGATAGCGTCAATCAAACTGGCGGCTGTTAAAGTTGAAGAATCGCTTCTGGGCACCTGCTGTTGATGCCGAATTTGTTGTTGTTGCTGTTGCTGTTGCTGCTGCTGATGAAACCTTTAACGCAGAATGTGATAAGTTTGTTAAAAATCAATGATCTTGTACGTAATTATTATTTTTAAATCACTCACCTCCTCTCCGCCTCAATCCTCTGCTGTTGCTGTTGTCTGAGCTGTTGTTGATGTTGCTCCATCATCTGAAACCGTCTCGGTTGTTCCATCAAATTATCGACCATCGTCTTGCCCAGTCCCTCGTGCGTAGCACTTGGCGGTACGGGAAGGCTCGGTTGTTGAACGGCTACATCCACCAGCGACCCCAACGCCTCGTGTCCGGGGGGATAATGAGGCCTAACCCCTCCACTCACCTGTTGCTGTTGCTGCTGCTGTTGAGGTTGTTGCGTGTTGTGTCGCTGGATGACGCCCTGCCTTTGTTGCTGTTGCTGCTGTTGTTGAGCGGCAATAGACGACGGGGGCATTTGTGGAGGTTGCTGCGAGGGAGGAGGCGTTCGGGCATAATATTGGGCGGCAGCAGCCACCGCTGCAGCCTTATCACTGGCCGCTGCACGTCTTCCAAGCATCTGCTGCGATGTAATGTAATCGTTCATTATAATCTGACGAGAACTGAGCTGTTGATCGACGGAGTAGACTGCGGCAGGCGGTTGACGATATTGAGGAGGCGGATAACCGCCCGATTGGGGCGGCGGAGGCTGCGTAACTGACTGACGCTTGTTGTAATAGTCATACATACGTTTGTCCTATTAAAATTAAAAAAAATCTAGGGGTATAAATAAAATAATTCGAAGTGGTATTCTGTCGAAACTGCCAGACGCGGATCGTGATTTCGATCTTTTTGGATCTCATCAGCGCGTCGCAGACAGCTCCGACAGAACACAGACCAACTTTTACCTGCAGTCTTAACAGCGCGTTTTAGAAAATACCACAAATGGCGCGGTAAATGCCATCTGTAGTACGATGCTACATTAACGTTGAGGTTAGCTACGCCAGGGTTCGTTTAAGCAAGTAGATATCCATATATTTAAATGGATCTTGTTGGAGCATACGTAATCCTAAAATGTAGCAACGTACTACAGATGGCGTTTACCGCGCCATTTGTGGTATTTTCTAGGGGTATGAAATATTAAGATCTTTTTAAGCATAAGTGCACTTATTCGTGGAGTAGCAGTGACCATGCGCAATGATGTCAGAATTACGTACCTGCTGCATGTGAGGCACATGTATGGGAGTTCCTTGCGTTATCGATCCCATTTTCGATTCTGGCGTGATCTGTCTCAGTAGGCCTTCAAAACGAGGCTGATTGATGATGGGTGTGCCCTGAGTGATCGAACCCGTCTTAAGATTGGCCGGTTTTGGACTGGGCAATTTTGGCTGCACTCTCGGAGGTACCGCTGACACGTACACTGCCGGACTTTTCCTCTCCTAATGAAAACAATCAAAGTAGAAATGTCACTGTACTAATGCACTCTATTAAAATGTCACCTCTCTATGTTGATGGTAACCCATATACGGCGACTGTTGTTCTGATCTGTGACTGACAGGTGGTTGCGGGTGCTTGGGGTGCATGGGTGGCGCAAGATCCCTCGGTTTCTTTATACTCAAATCCAACGTTTCCGGCTCTCCTCCCCCTCTACCGTCTTGAACTTGTAACACCACCAAATCGTCTCGTATGACCCGGTCTTGTTGCGTTTGAGATGGAACTTGACCTATAAAAAAATATAAATTGTAAACGTTAAACAGTTACCGAATGCAATAATTTACTACCAGGTGCTGGAACGGGTGTGATTGTTGCTGCAATAAGGGGTGGTACCAGTTTCATAATTGACACCTCATTGCGCGCACTTCTCGGCACTTGGGCACTATTCAAGTTATACTCGCTCACAATGGTCACTTCGTTTGAATCGTTGTTCAATATGGACGAGATGGTGGGGGCCATATTCGCCACTGAAACAACTGAACATGTTACAATAAAATCAAGAACAACTAGCAAATACGACCAGATATACAACATCTTTGATGAGATCGCATGTAAACCATAACAAAGATTAAAAATAAAATAAATAAATAAAGAAGATGAACGTGGCTATGTAGGATGTAGTTAAACGAATTGTAAACGTACCGTTGGCATTAGGGGCTTGTTGTGGAGCTCCTGTTTTTTTCAATGTAATCTCTATCACGTTCGACATGAGGTCTTTGACGGTTAATGGAGAGGGACTCTGAAAAGTATAATGAAAATTACATAGAACATATATTATTTTTAATCATGTAAAATTCACATACTTCATCGGCAGTTTCGGTGGCTGACGTGTCGTCGTCTTCTTTCTTTACAACCCTCTGTATCGGATGTTGTTCTCCGTTGGTCTGGGGACTTTCGGCACTCGCTGTGTCTGATGAGTGTCTCTCCCTACTCGGTTCATCACAACTACTGGTACTGCTACCACTCTCTTCCTCATCTGTCAAGGTGGGTTTTCGATCACCCAAACAGTTCTCCAAGTTTAAGCGTTTCCTGTACA